GAGGATTTTCTCCTGCTCTCTTAATCGAGACCGCGAGATGGGACCGGCTGAATTGCAGATGGGAGAGAAAGAGAAAGAGATACGTACCATCGTCGATGGCGAGAGAGTCGATAGCGGGAGGGGGCGAGAAAGAGAGACGAGTCTCGGAAGAGGGAGAGAGAGGAGAACGGTAAAGGATGCGCTCACTCTGCGCGAGCGCGGTTTGTCGCGTGTCGAAGAGAGACGGCTGGCTCCAAGGGCGCGACGAGGAGCAAACCCCCCTCCCCCTCGGCTGGTGTCGGTCGGAGAGAGATAGAGTCCACGTGCGAGAGAAAAGGAGAGATTACGCGTGTGCGGCGTATACATATATTCGTCGAAGGGAAACAGACCGACGGGATCGGGCGACAGCTGAGAGACCGTGCGAGAGAGAAGGAGGATAAAAGTGCGTATAGTATTCAACTGTAAACGGCGGTAGATGAAAAGAGATGACGCGAGAGAGAGAGAGAGAGAGAGAGAGACGGAAGGAATGAAAGAGCGAGAGAGGGAAAGAGAGCAGATTTCGCTTGTACAGCGGTGGCAATCCGCGAAGTGGAGCGAGATGCGGCGAGCGGCCGCGCGCGGGAGCGGGACGGAGATGACAATAGTCGCGGAGCGCTGCGCGCGCGGCGACGCGCACGGCGCGAGTAGTGGAAGCGTCGAGGAAGGGAACGCGGCGACGGGCGGGAGGAAGCCGTCGGGCGCCATACTGCCGTCGACCGTTCGTTCCGTACAGTACGCGCCCAGCGGTTAAGGCGGTTTTGTCGCGGGTGTCGCCGTCGCCGCTGCCGTCGTCGTCGTCATCATCATCTCGTGCGGTCCGTCGTTCCCTAACGTCTCTCTTTCTCTCTTGTACGTCGCGGTGGTGTCGCGCGACGTACGTACACACATACACACATTTCTTTTTTCGTCTCCCCTTCGCGCGCGCACACACTCGCCGCCGCGCCGACGCGTCGTCGCGCCGCTTCCCGGAGCGTCGCCCCGGCAATTTTTTTCCTCTCCTGCCCCGGTTCTCGACGTCGGTGCACGTTCCGCACGAGGATATACATATACGGAGGAGTGCGGGGGAGTCGCACAAGCCGGGTGTCGCAAGCCCTCCGCTCTTTAAACGGCAAGGACTCGTCGTTGTCGTCGTCGTAACCCGCCATCGTTCACGTCGCCGCCGTCGTCATCGTCGTCCCTGGCGGAACACCTGCGCACCGATACGAGGTGAGTGCGATACACCTGACACGGACGACACACGCACCGGGCGAGAGTGTGCGGAGCGAGACGGCGAGGCGGAGAGCGGAGCGCGACGTAGCCGCGTTAAGGTTAGGTGAGAGAGAGAGAGAAAGAGAAGAGCCGGTTGCGCTCGCGGATCGGATTCCGCGACAGCAACAGAGTCCGTAGCGGCGGTCCGGATCACGCGCGAGGTCGGTGGGTGCGTTTCCTCGATTTCGCCCGTCGTACGAAACGTGCCCGCCTGCCGTCGCGTCGCGTCGCGTCGTGTGTCTCTTCCCGACGGGGGAGCGTGCTCGTCGCTCTTACTTTCGTTTCCGCCGACGCGCTACGAATTCCTGTTGCCCGGAGAGACGAGAGACAGAGAGGGGAGGAACACGGGCAGATCCGCTCTCGTCGCGCCGAGAGCAACAAAGAGAATTCCCAACGACGCTTATAGCGATCCGCTTGCTAGCCGGAAGATAGTGATATCTGTACGCATATAGGTATAGAAGAGAATTGCTAATTTTAACTGTCGTGTCACTGTTTACCTTGAACGTGCAAGAATTATTACTTAAAATCGTTATCGGCGAGAACGGTTATCGCACCGCCCGAAAATTACGTAATTATATGCCTGGGCACTACTTTTCAAAACAACGTCAGTCTCCGATCGTGATTAATTAGTCGCGGATCACTCATTTCCGCCGTGTTTGCGATTGTAATAAAAATGCAGCGTGTTATTTGCGGTAGGGGCGAGGGAGGGGTACAGTAATGGTAGACGGAAATGTAACTGTAGACCGTTCTCTCGACTCGAACGGCGGCGGCGGCGGCGACGCGGCGGGGCGCTTTTAGGGTGCAGATGTTCCCCGCGTTTCGCCGAGGCTAATTTCGTCGACGGTGAATCTCGCGCGATCGAACGCGCGTGGGAAGACTGGGGGGGAGGGGGAAGGAAGGGTTGGGAACCGAGAGGGAAGGGAGAGGGATTTCGCGGAACTGAGGGCAGAAAGTGAGAGCTAGGTCGGGGAAGCGGAGAGTCCGGAGTGTTGGTCGCTCGGGGCGAATCAACGACGCGCTTGCGGCAGGCGAAACGAGATGTTCTCTCCTCGTGCAACGCCGGAGGTTGATCGAGGGAACTTCTTGCGTCGGAAGTTCACGCACAAGTTTCGCCATCGCGACTCCTTTATTTTTTTCTTCTCTTCGCCCTCCCTTCGGGAGTGGCGGGGGAGGTGAAGGGGGGTGAGGAATTAAAGGCCGCGAGGGAAAGAGTATGCCGGGTATGCTTGACGCTGTTAACGAGTTTCTTCCTTACCAAATTAATTCGAACCGGCTGATTTAATTCGAAACCTCCCTGGTGCACCGCTCGCGAGTATACTTCTTGAAGGAAAAATAAGAGAAAAAGAGAGAAGATGGAAAGGGGTTGGAGAAAGATGACAGGATCACATCGAAAGCGTTTATTTTATAAATATTGAAAGCTATTTATTTTTTGCGTGCATTACACGATGAATATGAAAATTACGGGATTAACAGTGACCATCACCGCCGCCGGCTTTCGTCGACGAGCGCCCGTTATTATTAATAGCTGTTTAATTATTAAAACTTTTGGTAGCATCATATCTCCATTAGGGAAATATACGCGCGGTGCACGGCGAGCTGCAGGGATGCTCCCATGCTCTCTCTCCCGCAATTTACAGCCGAATTATATCCCGCGATAAAAATGCCGGCGCAGATTATTTATCGTGCGACTTTCCACGAATTCGTATATACAGGTAGCAAAACCGTGAATTAACGTTCCAAGCGAGGTTTGCCCGAGATTATTGCTTTCGACGAGGCAAGACGACGCGCGTTAGGATCTCGTTGCTATTCACCGAGACGACCGTTTTCCCCCCGCCGCGCCGCGCCGTCAAAAGGCACATTTCCGAAGGTTCGTATGGGGCCGCCCTCGTCTCTTACGTGTATGCCTCATCGATGATGCACAGCCGCAGACGTTCCCCGGCGTTTAGGGGCCCAGGCGACACTGCACGACGGAGAGAGTCGCGGGTCGCCCCGTCTTACATTACGACCGTTTCCTCTCGCGCCCGCGGCATAAATTTCGAGTTCTCCGCCTGCATTATGCATGCCGCGCGATGCACGAAATATTACCATAAGCGATGGTGCGCGCCGCCGTCGCCGACGCGCGTACAAAGACGGATCGTTTTCCGCGCGTTTGCAGCGGCGCGACGGAGAGCAAAAGCATAAATCTTTGATCGTTGCAGTCAAAAATTGTGTGTCGGTTCCGCGCCGACCCGACTGGGCTTGCCCGCGAGTGCGCGGTCCCTGCAGGCGCACTCGCGTCCGACCCGACCGGCGATTTAGTTTGCAGCGGTGGAACTAAACTGGACGAAGTTATCGCAGGGAGCATCACGGTGCAGGGTGCAACCACCGCTGGGCACACCCCTCTCCGCCGTCCGAAACTTTAAATAGGCTTTACGACATTCTCTGTTGTCTCGACTTCGTCGAGAGTTTCGGCGCGAGGTTATATACCTGCGTGTGTGTATTTGTACGGTCCTCGACCGATCCCTTCGAATCCCTCGCGCATAGCCCAGATATCTTTGGAAAAAAAAAAATAAAGCTGAAAGCGCGCCGCGAAGAAGAATCGGGGCTAGAAATTTCGAGGAAGTCAATTGTGACGAAGGAAGAAGGATGATGGACCGGCTAGACCCGTTCGGAGCGGCTGCTGCACCCGACCTGCCGGTGTGATGTCAATGTGTTTCCCATTCCTCTTTCCTTTTATCGCGTTTGGGTCGGAACGATGAAATCGAACTCTTTGTTTGGTCGAAGAAAGAAATCCGTTCGTTCGTCGTCATACTTTTTCCACGTTGCGCCGACCAAACGGCGAGGCTTGATCGCGTGTCCCGCGATATGACAAAGAACCTCCGACGTTATTTCCGTGGCGAATCCGGGGCATTATTTCCCCGCTTTCTCCCGCGATCATCTCCCGATAATCGATTTTTCTCTTGTCGTAAAACATTCGCGGACACTCCTGTCGATCAAAAAGTGTCGAATCCGCGAAACCAATCGCGGATTCTGCAGGCTCCCCTGATGCGCCCTGCATTTCAAATTGTGCAAGAATTATTGTTACACTGCCACTAATGCGGGGAAATAGCGCATAATGTCCAGAGATTACTGGCGCTTTATTAATTCAGAGACTGCCGGGAATTATATAACGTAGAAATTAGCCCCGTTCAAGCCCCGGTTTGCCCCGATTTATGCATGTGCGCGAACCGAAACGCTATCGTGCGTAATTCGATTGGCTCGTGTACCCGCATGAGACGTCGACGCAGCTTCTTCACAGAGCCATTAACCGACTCGCTCTAATGCCGGGGCCCTCCCACGCTCCATTCACGACGAACGCGATCCTCCGATCCGCTCCCTTGAATTCCGCGATAAGATAAAGAAAGCCTCTCTTCCTCTGTCTTCCATTGTTTATTATATTTGAGCATGATCGTTCTCCTTCATACTTTAATCATTATGTTGACTCACCCATCATCTTGCCGACCGGATTCTTTCGGAATAGCGTTTCCTCGCGCCGCGTGTACGTCGTCTAGGGGAAGGGGAGGAATCTCGTTGAGATCTCCGTTCAGTTTGCTCGAGGAAAACATCCCGAGGGGATCGCTTGCGAAAATTTAACCGCTCGGCGAATTAATCGGTCTATCTCGTGCCTTCGCGCGAGTCCGCCTCTCGATTAATTTCGATTTAACCGGGGATGAATTTTTCGCCTCTCCTCCGCGGAAAGGTCCTCCGCGGCAATATTCTTATCTCCCGCACAATTAACATTAATGAAAAGCCATCGACGTGCAGCCACGCTCTCTCACGCCCGTTCATTAAGACTCGTTAGAGGCATACTGACCTCGCCCGGTCCCTCCCCAGTTGAGTTACCATGGCGCGGATCCTCCTTCGCTCCTTCTACCACGTTTGACATAATATATATCGTGTCAGATTGGAGGTCCGATCTGTGGAGAAGACCGTCTCCCTGCTCGTGTTCGCGCGATTAACACATGTTCGTGGCGACATGCTGCGAGGAGTACTCGCCGCTCGTTGAACTGAATGCGTCCGCAACAATTAGCCTCGATTTCGATCTTTACCGAATAGCACAGTGTTAATTAAAAAAGAAGAAAAAATATTTATTCGCTTTTATAATTTATACATTTCATTTCATTATATGTTCTTTCCTCGAATTATGTAATTATGTGCCTCAATTAAAAAATAAATAAAAAAATGTTAAAACTCGGTAACGTACGCTGTACGTTATAAAACGCTTCGACCCAGGTGCATCTTGCGTAATGCATATGTTGCGGAATATGTACGTTACATGAGCGTAAGTAACTTCTTAAAAGTGGCCCGTTTAATTCCGCAAAGAATTACCGGCCTCTGTGCTCCGAAAACTTTCGGCGCGTAGCCCTGCAAGGCAGGCAGGCAGGCTAATGGCATTTCAGCGGCATTTAAGAGGACACCGCTAACGGTGTCCTCTTGATAATGCCGGTCCGTTCTCTTAGCGTTTTATGGAGCGATACTCGCGCACGGAAATTCATCGCAGGCTTCTTCAGGGCAGGATACAAAGGTGGCGCATCGACAAACCAACCTCCTTCGAGTATCCGGTAGTATCCGAGCCATCCGGTATCGCGGTGATGATTGATCCATTTTTTTTTCCATGACGGAACATCCGCATTGCATTCGTCACGGTATTCGCGCGGTATTTCACCGGCGAATTTCAGCGCGCGTATTTTTTTTTCCGCTCTCGTCCTTCCACGCGCGCACATCAGTAATCGAAATTATTGCTGTATTAATGGAGCGGCGGATACCTCGCATAGACGGCGAATGTATTTCCGCCCGCGCGTAACTTCCGCACCGATGCTTATCGCCAATACCTTTCCGCCCGGGCGGCGGAATGAATCGCCGCGCGAATATTTTTCCCTCTCTCCGTGTCGCGATAAAATAACGTTATGTGTTTTTTTTGCCATCCCCCGCTCTTTCCG